ACCCCCCCCCAGCTCTGCTTCCCCTCCCGCCCCCCCTCCTGCCTGGTCCCTCCCCCCGCACCCCTCAACCATGTGGGGGCATGGCCTTAAAGGGGTGGGGGGCAGGGCGAGAGTGGGGCTGTAAGTGGAGCCTGGGGGCCTGCCTCGCCAGCCCCAGCTGCACCAACCACCCACGATTACAGTCATATTTTCTTGCTGGCACTGATCAAAGATTATTATTTTTAATCACCACCACAAATCATGCAGTCGAGTTTCCCGTATTTGGGGAAAATCACAGGGGTCAGCGCACCCACAGTGCAATGGATGTGCCTCACGCTGGGAAAACAACCTTCGTAATCACGATCTCTCCCCTGCTGGGTATATATTATTAAACAGGAAGCCAAGAGGACAATGAAAACACAAAGCCTTATGAAGATATGACAGAGGAATTCACACTGTAACAATTTAAGCCTGAGATTTTGGAAGAGGTCTGGAGAAGTTAGACACCCAAGTCCTTTGGATTGAGGTCTAATGTCTGAAATTTTTTTGAAAAATCCCACCCTGAAGCAGTTAGCATTTTAGTGCAAGGGTAGGAGACGCTTCCATAGTGAAAATATAAGGACTATAATAAAATGACCTTTCCATTGACCTCGTGTGGCGTCCTGCTAGAGCTCCAACATGTGGCAAATATCAATGGGATTGGTTCGAATTCGCCCTCTGTGTGACAGATTTCCATTCACGTTGCACAGTACCAGTTTTGCAGGTCGGGCTGCAGATGTCAGCGTAATGTGATAGCTTTATATTAAGATTCCATTCTTAAAGGGTTAATAAATGATTAGCAGGTTTGACCAGCATATCACAGACATGAGGGATATGTGCCGTAGATGGATATAAGCATATCGCGAGAAGTGCTATTGTTGGGTATAAGAAACTGATTTATCTGTTGGACTCGGACAATTAATTATTTTAAAAACAAGGAGTGGTTCAGTGGCACCTTAGAGACTAACAAAAATATATAGAATTATGAGCTTTCCTGGGCAAATTTCACTTCATCATTATTCAAAGATATTAGAATCATAGAATACTAGGACTGGAAGGGACCTCGAGAGGTCATCGAGTCCAGTCCCCTGCCCTCATGGCAGGACCAAATACTGTCTAGACTATCCCTGATAGACATTTATCTAACCTACTCTTAAATATCTCCAGAGATGGGGCTTCCACAACCTCCCTTGGCAATTTATTCCAGTGTTCGACTACCCTGACATTTAGGAACTTTTTCCTAATGTCCAACCTAAACCTCCCTTGCTGCAGTTTAAGTCCATTGCTTCTTGTTCTATCCCCAGAGGCCAAGATGAACAAGTGTTCTCCCTCCTCCTTGTGACACCCTTTTAGATATCTGAAAAATAATGTATATTAATAATGTATTAACAATTTATACAATTTAGAACTGGAGCCATAGTATATAAAGTCAGACCAGAGCTGGATTACCAAATAGGCAGACTAAGCACGTGCTTTGGGCACCAGCAAAGCAGGGGCACCCAAAAAAATGTGATTTTACGGTATAGTATTGTTTTTATTTTGAATTACATATGCGGGGCACCAGAATCTCTTCAGTGCTTAGGGCCTCTAAAGGTCTTAATCCAGCCCTGAGTCAGACCAATATTTCTGTACCTCCAAGCCAGCCACAGATTTCCAGCTTTATTAGTAAATTACACTTTAGATAGATAGATGGGGTGGGTGGGGATAGATAGGTAGATAGATAGATTAGATTAGATATCACGAGCTCTCGTGAGTACAACCCATTTCCTCAGATGAGCAGAGTGAAGAGAAACTGAGGAAGTGGGTTATGCCCACGAAAGCTCATGATACTACCTATATATTTTTGTTAGTCTCTAAGGGTATGTCTACACTACCACCCTAGTTCGAAGTACGGGTTAATGTAGGCAACCGGAGTTGCAAATGAAGCCCAGGATTTGAATTTTCCGGGCTTCATTTGCATATTTCCAGGCGCCGCCATTTTAAAATTAGGCTTCCTATTCTGAACTACCGGTGTTCCTCGTTCCACGAGGAGTAACGGTAGTTCGGAATAGGAAGCCTAAACCGAACTACCTAGTTCGTGCCGCGTGTAGCCGCGGGCACGGAGTCCGAACTAGCGGACATTTAAAAATGGCGGTGCCCGGAAATATGCAAATGAAGCCCGGGAAATTCAAATCCCAGGCTTCATTTGCAACTCCGGTTGCCTACATTAACCACCCTAGTTCGAACTAGGGTGGTAGTGTAGACATACCCTAAGGGTGCATCTACACAGCAGGGCTTACCTCAAAATAAGCTATGCAAATTGAATGACATTAATTGCATACTTATTTTGAAATAAATTGGGAGTCTCTACACAGCACTTACTTCGAAATCGAGCACTCTTCCTCCGACTTCCCTTACTCCTCATACAATGAGGGTTGCAGGAGTTGGAGTAAGAAGTCCTCCAGCTTGACAGTATTTCAGCATTATTTCGAAATAACTAATAACTGCCTGCTGTGTAGACGCGGACTAAGTTATTTAGAAATAACGCTCGTTATTTCAAAATACTGTTGCTGTATAGACGTATCCTAAGGTGCCACAGGGCTAGTCGTTGTTTTTAAAGTTACAGACTAACATGGCTGCCCCTCTGAAACTTTTGGTACTGTGAGCGGGGCAGTATGGGGCCTCCTTCTGCACACTGTAGTGTCCTCGTCTTGCACTGGCCACACACTGGGAGCTATCATGCTACTCTGCAGTTACCCAGAACTTTCTCAGAACCTGAGAAAGCTCCATGGGGCCAAAGCTTTAGTAAAGGTCCCTCTTCCTCCCCATCACTCTCTGGAGTCGGTAGTAATCTCTGCTTGTGGCCTGACCCTTGGGACTGAGCAATTGCATTGATGTTTGTGTGTCAGCCACTGCAGGAAACACTGCATCTGGAACCAATTGGGCCGGCATTATGTGGTCGTCCTATGCTGAGCTGCGGAATGAAAGTGATTCAGAATGCAGCGGGATGTTTTTTCTATGCTTATTTTAAAAAATACTCCGTTTTGCTCAGAGCCTTCCCTTTAAAGGGCCACAGTAGCACTTTAAAGAGCTAGGTCTGTCAATTTCTGCCTGCCTGTCAGAAGTACTGAGTACACTTCACTCCTCTGATCCGTGGCTGGTTCAATAACAAGCAATTCTGCTACCTTTGATGGTTTTCTCTTATGTGCACCCGGAGGCTGACAGCTGTGTGAGACTACTGTGGAGCTTGCAGAAAAGTCTCTAGCTCTTACTGGTCCCAAGGCTCAGTGCGATGCTCGTCTACAGGACAAACATTGAGGAACTATTTCTTATAATGAAGCTTGATTTAGATTTCAAAAGCATGTACTCTACCTAGTAACTTGTCAGCCTGACACCACCAAGCTAATACACAAAGTCTCCAGACTCAAAGTCTTTGCTGAAGACCCATTAATATGAGGCTGACCACAAGTATGTTTGACAATGCCCTTCTTTAAGCCAACTGATTAATGATTTAATTAGACTGTCATTGGGGAATGAAATGTTGATGCTTATTGTGCAAATCTCTACCTGTTCTCAGCCAGGAAGTGATTTCAGTTGAATTGACCATTGTCTCTGGTGAGAGTCATTAGGGGAGATACACATCACTGTCTGTTCCAGACCCCTTGTGGGCTAACCACAGCAACCTGAATACTACCCTAGGGCATTTGATGTATAAACACACACACATGCCTAAAGCATAAAGTTAATTAAGTATTTGAGTGGCACCACTCTTAATCCTAGAATCATAGAATACTAGGACTGGAAGGGACCTCGAGAGGTCATCAAGTCCAGTCCCCTGCCCAAAAACTGTCTAGACCATCCCTGATAGACATTTATCTAACCTACTCTTAAATATCTCCAGAGATGGGGATTCCACAACCTCCCTGGGCAAATTATTCCAGTGTTTGACTATCCTGACAGTTAGGAACCTTTTTCTAATGTCCAACCTAAACCTCCCCCGCTGCAGTTTAAGCCCATTGCTTCTTGTTCTATCCTCAGAGGCCAAGAAGAACAAGTTTTCTCCCTCCTCCTTATGACACCCTTTTAGATACCTGAAAACCGCTATCATGTCCCCTCTCAATCTTCTCTTTTCTAAACCAAACAAACCCAATTCTTTCAACCTTCCTTCATAGGTCATGTCTCTAGACCTTTAATCATTCTTGTTGCTCTTCTCTGGACTCTTTCCAATTTCTCCACAACTTTCTTGAAATGTGGTGCCCAGAACTGGACACAATACTCCAACTGAGGCCTAACCAGTGCAGAGTAGAGCGGAAGAATGACTTCTCGTGTCTTGCTCACAACACACCTGTTAATGCATCCCAGAATCATGTTTGCTTTTTTTGCAACAGCATCAAATTGCTGACTCATATTCAGCTTGTTGTCCACTATAACCCCTAGATCCCTTTCTGCCGCATTCCCTCCTAGACAGTCGCTTCCCATTCTGTATGTGTGAAACTGATTGTTCCTTCCTAAGTGGAGCACTTTGCATTTGTCTTTATTAAACTTCATCCTGTTTACCTCAGACCATTTCTCCACTTTGTCCAGATCATTTTGAATTATGACCCTATCCTCCAAAGCAGTCGCAACCCCTCCCAGCTTGGTATCATCTGCAAACTTAATAAGCATACTTTCTATGCCAATATCTAAATCGTTGAAGAAGATATTGAACAGAGCCAGTCCCAAAACAGACCCCTGTGGAACCCCACTTATTATGCCTTTCCAGCAGGATTGTGAACCATAAATAACTACTCTTCTTTGATACATTATTCACACACGCATACCCATGCCCTTTTCACATGGAGCATGGCAAATTCTGACTGGAAATACACCTTCCTGTTTTCTGCTACTTGAGCCCATGAGAGGTAAAGTTAGGATAAGGTGGCACCATGGCTCAGCTGGCTGAAGTGCCTGCCTAGTAAACAGGAGGTCTTGGGTTCAACTCCCAGGAAATGGGAGGCAAAATTGTTCTTCTTGGCCCTTGATGATAGGACACGAAGCACAGAGCTTAAATTGCAGCAAGGGGAGGTTTAGGTTGGACATTAGGAAAATCTTTGTAACTGCCAGAATGGTTAAATAGTGGAATAAATTGCCTGGGGAGATTGTGGAATCTCCACCACTGGAGATGCTTAAACACAAGATAGACAGATGCCTTTCAGGGACTGTCTAGACCAGGCCTGGGCAAAATATGGCCTGTGGATGGGATCAGGCCCACCAAGCCACTGGATGCAGACTGCGGAGGCAATGGGGAGCCCCAAGCAGCATCCCCTGCTGGCCCAACAGCTCTGCATGCTGCTCAGAAATGTAGTGGCAGGGCACTTTCTCTTTGAGT